TACCATGCTACAGTGACATATCTACGAATTTAATTAATAACTTGATCTATTTTAGAGTATATATTTACTATAAAAATAATTCACTAATTATATATTTTGGGTTGGGTCCATTCTACTAATTTTATACCCTTGCAGAGGGTATTATGATTTCAGTCAGAAGTTTTCTACGCAGTGAAGGACACGTTTCCGACCCCATAAAGTATATATATTCTTGATCAGCATTACTAGACGAGTCGATCTTGCCATGTCTGTCTGTCCGCCCGTTTCTACGCAAACTAGTCTCTCAGTTTTAAAGCAATCGGTCTGGAACTTTCCCAAATGTCTTCTTTCTTTTGTAGGTAGTATATAAGTCGGAACCAGCCGGATCGGACAACTATACTTATAGCTTCCATAGGAATAATCAAAACAAATATATATACATACATATAACCTCGTACGCTTGCCATAGAAACAATCGGAAAATTGGTGGGAAAATAATATGAAACACATTATAGCTTCGGTGTTTTTTGACATATTATTTTATACTATTGGGAATTCGTATTTTTAAGAATTTCGAATTAAATTTAATAAAAATCGGACGACTCTAACATATTCATAGCTGTCAAAGAAACGGTCAGAGAAATAATGAAATAAGTATTTTTAAAAAAATTTTGCTTTATTTATTTTGATCGTATTTTCTTTTACTCTGGGATATAAAATATTTTTAATTTTTCACAATTACGAACTTAATTTTACAAAAATCTGACGACTATAATAATTTGCTGAATGGGGTGGTGTCAGGACACGAAAAACATGGAACCGGTGTACAGGTGTTCAAATTTTAAGGCAGGCTACCTAGGTATACTCGATTTTCCTATTTTAGATTGCAGAACATTACTAACATTGATTATTTCTTATAACTGCAAAGGTACACAAACTTCGGCTTGCCGAAGTTAACTTCCTATGTTTTTTAGACTTACATAACTATTGTAACCCTTATGTTTGCGTTTTACGTAAGAGTAACTTTTTAAATGGGTAAAATTGAAAATTCGATGGTTGAGAACCGTTTTACTTTTCCATTGGTCAACTTTATCAATCGATATTTTTTGTGTGTGGGAACAATATTATTAAATATGAAGAATCTGCTACAAACTTGGGTGTTAAACTTAATAATAGCTGTTGGACGAACGTATGGGCTACTGAGACAGCTTTCTCCTATTCTCATTCCTAGCTTATTTTACGGGGTAGAGTTTTTCGGGCATTGTGGTACTCACGACATGCAAATATTAACTGTTGCTAGTAATTCTATCGTCCGCTGTGGTTATAATCTTCATGATACATACTTCCCATTTAATTAATAACATTTTTGCTGTCTCCTCGATTTTCGGCAGATAAAGGTTGCCTAATAACAGGGTTGTAACCCTAAATGCGACAACCGTCAAATAGCACTTTTTGTGTTTGTTTGTCGGATAACTTTCGTGACGAATAAGTATTAACAACCTACTAAATACCTACAATTTTTTTCAAGAAATCGGTCTTAACCAAGTTATTTGTAATCAGGACTCAAAAATCCATGAATCCTTAAAAATTAAGGTGTTGGTGCTAGTTCAAAATTCGTTTTTAAAATTTTCAACATACATACTTGTTTTGGATTGATTGACTCTGATAGGCTTTTAACTTAAGAAGTTTCTAGCTCTTCTTTTTTATCCTCTCTTCTCACGATGACAAGTAAAATCGGTATCATGACTACGTATAATCATGCAGCTCTCTTAAAATTAATTACCTATCGAGCGAAAGCTTTTGATGGATAAAAGCTAGCGGTGACTATAAATTGTGAGGTAGATGAGAGCCAGAGCTTCAGTTTGAGGAAATTTTCGACTAGCAACACTTACGGAGAAATAAATACACCAGCTAAAATGGATCGTTGGACAAATCGAGTTGCTGTTGTGACGGGTGCTAGCTCTGGGATCGGATCGGCCTGCTGCAAGGATCTGGTGGCGAAGGGCTTGGTCGTCGTGGGCTTGGCCCGTCGGGAGGAGCGTTTAAAGCAGCTGAAGGAATCCCTGCCAGCGGATCAGCAGGCTCGCTTCCATGGACGCAAGTGTGACGTCAGCGTGGAGCAGCAGGTGGTCGATGCATTCGCATGGATAGATGAGACCCTTGGAGGGGCAGACGTCTTGGTGAACAACGCGGGTATTACCACTGATTCCCTGATCACGGATGCCGACAATGCTGCCGACATGCGAGCCGTCCTGGACACCAACGTCCTGGGATTCGTGTGGTGCGCCCGAGAGGCCTTTAGATCGCAGCAGAAGCGCAACGTCACCGATGGCCATGTGGTGGTCATCAACAGCGTTGTGGGTCACAAAATTCCCGTTATGCCAGGCTTTGGCTTCAAGATGTACGCCCCTTCCAAGTTTGCCGTAACCGCTTTGGTGGAGGTCCTGCGACAAGAGTTCCAGCAGAAGAAGACGCAGACCAAGATCACGGTGAGTTGGGAACGGTTTCTTCCAGTAGCAAGATATCGCGAAGATTGATCATCAACAACGTTTTTTAAACAGTCATCGTTACACAACCCTTTGTGACACAGAAATCTCTTCCACCAATATTACGTTGGAATTGAGCCGAGTTGATCTACCCATGTCCGTCTGTTCGTATGAACACTGATATCTTGGTATTTCTGGGATAAAACATACAGATACGGGGGGCTCTTAGGCGGCGAATGTTTCATTCAGAGCTGTGCCACGCCCACTTGAACGCCCATAACGTTAAAGTCTATCAGATGCCCTCGTTTTTGTATATTTTGTTTCAGTGAAAATTGAAATTGATTTTACTGATTAATACCTAACTACATGCCAACAATCATACCAGTCGCAATATCATTTAAAAAGCTACGACAACTATGATGATAAGTTAAAAAACCTTCGATTTTTACCATTTCACGAGCAGATTAAAATGACAACATTTTAATCTTATTTAAAGTGTGTAAAGACCATTTATCTTGGCTTATACGAATACCGAAATTTTCTTGTTTTATTTGGTTGCTTACTTTCTGGTCGCGAATTTTGTGTGAAAGGAAAGTTCGATAGATAACGCTATCAAAACTGCCAAAATGACAAATGAAATTTCCCTTATCTGTTAAATTGTAATGTCGCTTTCTAGTTACCGTAGTATAATATGCCCTCTCACAAAAACAAAATTGCTCTAGGAATCAATTAATCCAAATAAATGTTTGTTTTTATTTTCGGTGATAATTATAATTTTTTTACGAAAATAGTTAAAGTATAATAATTTTTTTTGAACAAAAAAAAAGCTTCGGTATCATTGTATAGTTGGTAAGAGAAACTAAATGGATTAATTCCATAAGCTTTTAGCAGAATAAACAAGGAAGAACGCTATAGTCGAGTACCTCGACTATCAGATACCCGTTACTCAGCTAAGTCAGGGACCAAAGGGAAATGGAGATATGCAAACAGCAAAGCGAGACTAAAAAGCGCCACCTACCGGCGGTAGACAGATTTACGCGTTATGGGCGTTAGAGTGGGCGTGGCCAATTTTTTTTTTGGATCAATCGATAGTTATTGACGAGACCAATACATTTCAGTTAAAATTTTTTATCTAGCAGGAAAATTGTGGGCGTCACAGGTTTTTATTTTTATTCTATCACCAAAACTGTAGGAGCCACAGTTTTGGGCGGTTTGTGGGCGTTAGAGTGGGCGTGGCACATTGCTTAAACAAACTTGCGCTGCGTATGAAGCTCAGGAATCTGCACGCCAAATCTCAATAGCCTAGACCTGATCAAGAATATATGTATATACCTTATGGGGTCGAAAACGTTTCCTTCTGCCTGTTACATACTTTCCGACGAATCTAGTATACCCTTTTACTCTACGAGTAACGGGTATAATAATTCGATTGTCATTGCGGAGGGTATAATGATATCAGTCAGAAGATTTCAACGCAGTGGAGGAAACTTTTCGTACTTATAAAGTATATATATTCTTAATCAGCATCACTAGACGAGTCGATCTAGCTGTAATAGGACGGACAAATGTCAAAATAGATCAAAGACCGTTATAATTCGTTTTCGGTAAACATAAGTATACAGTAGTAAGTTGAAATGAACCTTATCTTAATATTTCTGTAATTATTTTTTTACCCGTTACTCGAAGAGTAACACTGCGCTGCGCAGATTTCTTTCAGTAGGGTGCTAGAAAACAAATTTTAACTGAAATGTCTTAGTTTCGTCAGTAACTATCAATTGAACCAAAAAAAAGTTTGCCACGCCCACTCTAACGCCCATAACGCTTAAATCTGTCTGCCGCCCACATAACCATATGTTGAGATAGCGGGTAGATGGCGAATTACAATCTCGCTTTGCTGCTTGCACATCTCCATCTCCCTTTGGTCCCTTTAGCTGAGTAACGGGTATCTGATAGTCGATAGTATTTAGTTCTCTGAATATCGGAAAACTTTGGACATACAATGATTTCATCGGAACGAACTTCAAGGGTATAAAAACTTCGGCTTGCCGAAGATAGCTTCCTTTCTTGTTATGCCGTCCAAATTGTTAATTTAAATATTTTTCTACTCGTAGAGCATTAGCCCCGGAGCCGTCGACACGGAAATCATTGATGAAAAAATCAGGGAGATTTTGCCAAACTTCCCCATGTTGCGTGCTGAGGATGTAGCCGATGCAGTCTCTTATTGCATCCAAACGCCTCCCAACGTGCAGATCTATGAGCTGACCATCAAGCCAATTGGTGAATCGTTTTGAACGATGCCTTAATGGAACTGGAACTTTCGCAAGCTATAAGCGAGTAATTTGCAACAATCAACAATGGAAAGTGGATAGTAGCAATGAAAACATTGTGCTATTATGAAATCCAGAAAGATGTAAGCAAAGCAACCCATGCATCGGGTTTACAGAGAACAAATAAATAAATATATTTCAAGTACGGGAGGAATTTGATTCCCAGTCCTGAGTTATTTCCATGAAAAGCAAATAATTGATTTTGTAGTATATTTAAAGTGGTTTTACAAGTAACATTTATTAAATCACTTCAACACATAAGTTCAATGAAGGAAGTACAGGGCCTTTTAGTTGCAGGTAATTACAATACGTCATGGTTTACGGGTATAACACTATGTCTGTATAAACACCGATTTCTTTAAGTTTCTCACCTTCTGTATCACAGTTACATGGTTATTACAAACGTGAGCGTGTGTATGTTTGTTTTGTGTTTTTGTTTTGAACGCATACAACTAGAATAGACAACACATATTCTCTGCGCACATAACTATCATATAAAGTAACTACATCTTGCTGGCGCCAACATTGCGGCCCAACTTAACATCTAATAAAAATCCAGAGTATAAATAGTTTTGATTACAGTTAAGTACATAAACAGCGTTGAAACGTTTGGCTAAAAACTAATAATACCGTCATCGTACAGTCCTACCGACAAAGACGTACCCAGTACCTCCGCTAATTGCTTCAGTTTCAAATTGTATTCACTTGGCTGGAGCATCAAACGTGCAATAACAAATTAAAAAAAAGCATATTGCAACCGTCTGAAGTCTTTTGGAAATAGCACACTAAGGAGAGTTTACAAGATTTCGCTTTGCTTAAGTCTACCAAGTACAATTACACATATATCTAGAGTATATCAATGTAGAACTCGCACAACGTACATATGCCTCGGCCAGCACATTTTAAAACTAAATATGCCGACACGCGGTTTGTATATGTATATATAAATGTATCTCGGGCAGGCTTCTGTGCCGCCTTACCCTGTATAAAAATGCAGTTGCCTGATCCACCCTGGCAACAACAACGCGCGCTGGCCGGCAATAGTAACTAACTCAATTGGATGTAGACGGATACGTTTGATATTTGCATTCGTGCAGCGTCTGGAACGAGTGCTCGAAGTCTCTCGGGAGCGAGGACAGTGCGTGGGCGCTTTCGGTGCCCGAAATAGTTTTGATCAGGCTGTTGGAGTTCAGTGACTCCAGCTCGTGGGTCTCCGAGTTGGCCAGTTCCACGATGGCCGAGCTGGTGGGGGTCAGCAGCTGCTCGCTGGCGATCACCTGGCTGGGTTTTCTGCAGAAAAAATACAAGGTTTTAACAAATGCTTTAAATAAAAAGTAGTTAAAGAACTTTAAAGAGATTCAAGAATAAATGTATCTTGAATTAAATATTTAGTCCGACTAAGAGCCGAAACCCAAAACAGATCTAATGAAGACCCAAAGGTCAATTGCTTAATTGAAAGTGTTAAAACGAGTCAATACAATTAAAACCTTACCGCTCATAGAACTTGCTGCTGGCACTGTTCCGCTTGTTCCACAGCGGCCACTTAAGCTCCAGGAAACCATGCTGCGGACCGGCCACCCGCAGCAAACTCATCAGGAAAAAGGTGGCGTAGAACCAGCTTATGATCATGACCACGACCAGGAAGACGCCGATCTGAATGTAGGGCAGAATATTGGATGCCATCATAATGCCGCCGGCCAGTCCCGTCGTGGTGGCCGCCATCACCGTAGGTCCAATTATGCGCGATAGCACAAACTGAGTGGCTGCTAATCTCTCCTTTACTGGAGACATCCGGTAGTGGATGCCGTAATGTAAGCTGAAGTCCACAGCCAGTCCTATGGCTGTACTCACCGCAATGCTCTCCAAAATGTTGAGCTGCCAGCCAAGCAGGATGAGCACCGCCACGGTGTTAAAAATGCTCAGCGACACGGTTAATACAGCGTAAATTGAAATCAGTATGTTGACAGTAAAACACAGCAGGACTGCAAGGGACGCAGCCATTGCCAGACAAATGGCAACCAGTGTGTCATGTGAGAGTGTGTCCTGCACATTGTAGAATTTCAGGTCGCTGGTGAACCATCCTCCTTGAAGTTCAGGAGGTGCCGTGGTCAACTGCTGCTGAAACCAGTTCTCAACAGACTCATAGAACTGTTTAATATTTGCGTAGATGGTGCTGTAAGCCACGTTGGACTCGAACTCGATGACCAGGGCTTTGACCAACAGTGGTGTAGATGATCCGTTAGTGCTGTACTCAGCGCTCTCATTTCCACCTATTCCCGAGTAATCGTCAGTCTCCAGTCGAGGAGCATCCGCAAACTTGGGTCCTGCCACGCCAGGCCGGAAAAATGTGGTGTCATACATGTTGGATATGCTCTGTGGCAAGCAATACTCGAATATGTGTGGATCGAAGGGAAACTGGGCGTCGCAGCATGGCGAACGATCTTTCCTGGTAAAGTCCATATCGTCTATGCATCTAAAACATATATTAAGTCTCTTATAACATAGGTTTTAAGCTTTTTGAAGAATAATATTTTATGTATAGACTGTATGTATACGAATTAAAAATAGTTACAACTATATTACACTATTTTATTTTTTTAGTACCTAAGGTTATTGACCCAAGTCTATCCAAAAATGTTGTGGTAAAAATACCACATTCTAGAAATCTCTAAGCCAAAAACTAATGCTAAAGCTTAACGCTCACCTGCGCTTCATATAGTCGATGAGATTTTCAATGAAACAATTGGGCAAGAGCATGCCCAGGGTCTCTTTGTAAAAGGGTTGCTGGCGCACACTCTGGCAAAAGTTAAGGATCCAGAGTTGCGCTGACCTGCTCGATACATTAAAATTATTGTCATAGTGTAGGTTGCCATAGGAATTGGGGTTCGTGTAGTCGCCATCGTCCACTGCCTGAACGCCCCAGACGAAGTGCATGTGCATCTTGAAGTTCTCGTACGCCTGCAACGGTTTTTCGAACCAGAACTGCTGCTTCATGCTGGAATACATCTCAAACGGATGCCTTGAGACGAAGAGCTGGAAGTGCGATTTCTCCGGCAACTGGAGTCCTGGATACCAGAACACAATGACGGCGCTGGACGCGCCCAGAGCACCAAAGATCAGCAGCCACAGATAGGAGTAGTTCAAAATGCTGTGCGTAATGCACTCCTCAAACATCTGGCAAAATCTGTTAATTGACTTCTTGCTCGCGTGGATTAACTTCTGGGACATCGGATGCCGGCAGGATATCCTGGTGGCAAAGAGCCGTTCCATGATGGATACCGAAGCGGGCAGCCAAGTGATCATAAGCAAGTAGTTGGTCACCACGACGGTTCCCGCAAATATCCTGAAAGAATAAAACCAGTTGTGTTCATTTGAGTATTTCTTTAAAAAAACAGTTTCAAAGGATAAACATACCCAAAGCACTTGATGGCTGTTATGGAGCTGCTGTAGGAGGCGTAAAAGGCGCCGGCGGTGGTAAGCGAAGTAACGAACATGGAGGCAGCAGCGTGGCGCATGGTCAGCGCCATGATGTTCTCCAACGACTCCGTGTGATCGCTGAGCTCCAGGGGCGTGGGAAGAGCACTCTGGGATTGAGTGGTCAAGGTGCATCGATTGCTGAACCTCTCGGCCAACACACATTGCCAGATTTTCAAAAACAAAAATACATCGTCTGCTCCAATTCCAATTATCACCACAACGGCCAAAAGGTTCATGTAGGGGAAGAACTCGAACTCGAATACGATGGCGTAGAAGAAGTACGCTAGTCCCAAGGAAAAGCAAATCGCGATACAGGACATTAAGGTGATGAATGCCGACCCCGTGTACAACCAAACGCTGGCCATGACGAAGGCCCCTCCTAGGGAAACTAGCCAGACATCCGTCAGCAGCAGCTCATTGAAAAGCTCGTTCTCAAGGCCCAGGTCCATCGCAATAACTTCCACAAGCTCGTTGCGCAGCTCCCTGCAAAATCAGTCAGAAATTTGATCTCAAACAGAAAACAACAAAAAAAAATAATATAATAAAAATATAAAAAAAAAAATTCAAAATGGATCCAGTGCAGAGGGAAAAAGAGTTGGTTAAAGTGCTAATGCCAAAGACCAGGATGCTTGTAAGCACCAGCAGAGCAGACTATGTGGACCATACCGGAAAGGCTGTTTACAATCCCCCCATCCGAAAAAGTCAGGAAGACCCCTCCTTAATAACTGGCCACCATTCCGCAAATCTAAAGGTTTCTGGAGTGGAAATGATTACGAAAACATGGCCCCAAGCAATGGACTGGCGCGAGGACTACGCACAATTCATCAAGCGCAACAAATGGTGCAACGAGGAGATCTACAAGCTGTTTTTTCTGTGTCCACCCGTAGATTATAATCTTCTTAAGAACTTTTTTAAGGATCTGCGCAAGTCAGTTTATATGTACGACTACTCGCGAAACGACTTCGTTTCTTTTGTGAGTCGAAGACGATTAAAAAGCGGAAAATACTTATCCTCTGAGGATGGAGATTATCAGACTACTTATGGCTGCTATTATAATCGCTTGCAGGAAACGGAGCCATTTAAGAGCTCCTTATATGCGGAACATGCAACTAAGAATCTAACGCTAGATCGGATTGCTATCGAGTTGCGCAAACTGTTCACAAAGTACAATATGACCACCTATTTTGACACTATTTGCGTCCCAGCTTTGATGAAAGCTAAGAATGGCATAATGCCTTCGTCACCAATTGATCGGTACCAATTTCGCAAGTACTAACAAGGATTGCTACTTACACCTCTTCCCATTCGTGGAACAGCGGCAGAAGGCGATTGGATTGGGCCACCGGTACAAATATCATAGCGTATTTCAAGTATACGTTGGATTCCTGAAAAAATAAAGATGTAAATTACTTAAAAGATGCCAATACAGTTAACCGCAAACAAATATCTTAATTTTTCTTATACTAAATGTAAAGTAACCTTTTCGTATCTTCATACATTTTAAAATGTTTTGAGTAATTGTCTTCTTAAATACAAATTACAAACATAAAAAGTTAGTTAAAATATATTTAGTAAAGGACAGACAGTTTTGATAACAAAAATGAATCGAAAAGAATTGAGAATTCCAATTATATTTATGTATTTTAAACCACTCACATTGGCTTTCATAAACCCGAAATCGGTGAGGAAATTCAGGACATTAAAGACAATGTTAAGTCGCTTGCACTCTTCTGGAGCACGACAATGCGGAATTTCGTTGCAGTGGTTGTCCATCTTGAGATCGTGGAAGTACTCGTAGCAGCCGGAGAGCAGTGTCTGCAGCGAAGTAACATCCTCTGCGGTGAGGTCGAAGCAGGAACTTTTGTTGGCCAGCATGGCGGCATAGTTCGGCAGCGACCACGGCCGGCAGCACTCCGTGGTGAGCATCTCCGGTTCGCAGAAGGCGCGGTAGCTGGGCACTTCGGTGATCTGATCCTGCAGCTGGCACATGGCGAGCAGCCCGTTCAAGTCAAACAGGGAATCGGTGGCGTTGGGGCCGATGCGCCGAACCACAAAATGCGAGTACTCCTTCCGCGGCGATGAGTCGCAAAAGAAGCCCTCGATGGGTTGGCGACGATGCATGTCCGCCCAACCATCGGTGGGCAGGGTGGCGGCTTGTTTCAGCAGCCGCCAAGTGCTTTTCTTGGTCTGGACCCGCTGCTGATGCTCGTCCTCATCCACTGAGGTGGTGTTGTGTCCATACTCGATCTGCTCAGTGCGTCGGGTGGGTTCCAACGAGGAGGAAGCGCTGTCGTTAGTGATTTCGTAGTCACGGAACACTCCGCTGTCCCCCATCCAGGTGTCCACAGCGAGATTTGCGGATGGGGCACTCGTGGCCTTCAGACGCTTTTTGAACTGCATCATCTTCTGGGCCACATCGTGATGTTCGTTATTGCTCTGATTTTGCTCCTTGCGCCGTTTATTCTTGTTTCGGTTTCTGTGCTTGTTCTTGCGTCGCTTGTGACTCGGATGCAGCCTGGATTCCACATAGCCCTGCTCCACGCGCCTCTTCTCCCACAGATCCGACGGATTTGAGAAAAGCAGTCCATGGTGGTCAGTCTCCTGCATCAGGTTGTACCAGGCTGTCAGGCGTTCCCCTATCTTGGTGCCCCGCGTCTCGAAGCCCTGTATCGAAAAATAGAGTTTTTAAGTGAGTAAGCATTCATGACACAAGAAAAAATCCAAAATGTTTTGTTCAGTGGGATAAGGTTAGATTTAAAAGAATTGAATCACTTAAAAGTGATTATTAAAGTAGTCATACTTCTTAGCACGAGTCTATGCTTAAATTATCCAGTATAAAATATGAAAGAGCGGTAAACTATTTAATATAGTATCTAATATTTTTTATTGTTTCCGCCAAAAAAGCTTTAAATAACATACAAATCATTTTATTTCAGAATGGTATGAATGAAATTTAGAAAAAAAAGAATAACTTTTTGATAAAAACACAATATTCCAAGATTTTAACTTTTAATGGAGTTTCAATGCAGTTATGTTTTTGATTATTAAAATAATATTAAAATATAAATTAATCAAGATATCTCAAAATCGGGGTATGATTGAAAACGTAAAAATAATTCGGTTCGAACTATTATCTATCATACAATTGTTTAACTAACTAATGCAAGCTTTTGTTCAAATCAAACCTGCTGTTTCTTTTTCGATTTATTCGAATATTCTGATAGTCATAAGGAAATAATAACGTGGAATTTTTTGGAACCAATCGTTTTGGGAAGGATTCTAGTATGTACGAACCAAGGTGGGATCGCTGAAGTCGGGCAGCTTGTTCAGGATGAGGGCCACGATGATGCAGGCGGTGCAGTAGACGGCGATGGAGACGACCACCAGGTAGGGGCGCCTGGCCAGGACGTGGTAGTACCAGTTCATCCTCTCCGAGTCGAAGCACAGCATGTCAGTCGAATGTGGTACCGTTCCCGCAATTCGCGTTAACCCCTTCGCATAGTGGGAACAGTGCTCCTTGGATTTGCTTTTCAGTGCATCCTTGGCGGCTGGAAAAGTCTCGAATAACCTTGGGCTGGCGGGGTGCTCCTTGGGACGGAGCCAAATTCTATTGTGTTGCTTCTGTTATAGATACTGCCTGGCAGTCAGGCTGCCTCCGCGGAGTTCCACTTGTTGGATTGCATTTTTAACAGTGCGCGCCCGTGCAAATAACTCAGGGTTCGAAACTAACTAAAACAACACAAAACAACCAAAAACTATGCGAATAAGGATAATGCAGAAAACGGTGAAATAACAACAAAAAGCAGCACAAAGGATACACTGAGGTGTGAGCCAGTATTGAACAATCCGCGCACCAGTGATGCCTGGCCCAAAGCAACAAAAACAGCTGTTTTTGGAGGGGCAAATTAAGGATAACCTATGATGTTACGTTGACTTCATTTAAATAAGAACTGGAATGATTGTACACGCTGATATACTACAATTCAGAAAGGCCCAATGAACAAAACCTGCTAATCGGAAAGCTATATAGAAATAACCAGTTCCAGGCAAAACCACACCATATTTCCCGCTGCCGATACTATCCAAATTCAGCAGAAAACAAGCTAGTCCGCACGAACTGCAAAAACATATGTTCGAGCGGCAGTGCTGCAAAACGAGAACTAGTTCCGCCGAGCAGCATCTTGTGCAATGTTTTGTAATCGTATTTACAAAATTCTTTAATCGAACTTTTATAAATTAGAAATGCTGCGCCGCGTGCACTGCTTGCTCCGGCTGCACGCCAATGGACGCCAGTCACTGGCCACCCGCCTCCGAGGCTACTCCACGGATGAAGGGAATCCCAAACAGAACCCGAATTCGAATCCCAATCCCAAGGCCCAAAAACCCGGCACCAAAAACCTGCCGGCTGTGAGGAATCCTTTCGCTGCCGCGCAGGACAGGACGAAGAACACCTACCTGACCATGGTGGAGATCTTCCAGGAGCGCGACGTCCACCGCCGCAACCATGTGGAGTTCATCTACGCGGCGCTCAAGAACATGGCTGATTTCGGGGTGGAACGGGATCTGGAGGTCTACAAGGCGCTGATCAACGTGATGCCCAAGGGCAAGTTCATACCCACCAACCTGTTCCAGGCGGAGTTTATGCACTACCCGAAGCAGCAGCAGTGCATCATCGACCTTCTCGAGCAGATGGAGGATGTCGGGGTGATGCCCGACCACGAGATGGAGGCGATGCTGCTGAACGTATTCGGCAGGCAGGGACACCCGCTTCGGAAGTACTGGCGCATGATGTACTGGATGCCAAAGTTCAAGAACCTCTCCCCGTGGCCTCTGCCCGATCCAGTGCCGGATGACACCCTGGAGATGGCCAAGCTGGCGCTGGAGCGCATGTGTACGGTCGACCTGCGATCCAAGATCACGGTGTTCGAGACCAGCGAGCTGAAGGATGCCATCGATGAGACGTGGATTGTGAGCGGGATGAGTCCCGAGCAGGAGAAGCTGCTGCGGGAGCACTCCCGCCAAAAGGCCCTTTACATCGAGGGACCCTTCCACATTTGGCTAAGGAATCGCCGGATCAACTACTTCACCCTGCGCGCCGACCCAGATGTTGAGTTCCTTTCCCAGTTGGATGAGCGGCAGCTGGACGACGACGACGTCTCCCACATCGAGGTGCCTTTCTTTGGTCGTGCTCCGCCTAGGCGTCACAACCAGCTGGGGAAACTGCGCTCCGTCCACCAGCAGGACGATGGCACCATCTTGGCCATCTGCGCCACAGGCACCTCCACAAAGGACTCCCTGCTCTCGTGGATTCGCCTGCTGGAGGTGAACGGAAATCCCTCCATAGGAGAGGTGCCCGTCCTCTTCCGGTTCAGGTCCGAAGTGCCCGCCAAGGCGGAAGAGATTGAGAGTGGCGCCAGTGTCCCAGCAACAAGTGATAGCAAGAGCAATAGTCAGAATGAGGAGTCAAGCAGTAGACGGTAATAAACAAATTGTTGAGCTATTTTCCGTGTTTTAAATTGGGTTACACTATTTTTTGAAGTGGTTGCTCAAGTTTACTGGAAAATGTCCACCATTTTGCAAAGTCTTACAGAAAACTGCCTCACAAACAAAAATTTTCCACTTTATAAATTTTATTCAACTTTCTTTGTATCTTTGTGTGGCTTTTTAATGAAGTAAGAGTAATTAAGGAGGATTTCACACAATTTCCGATTGTGAGCCGAGCTTAAACGAAAAATCACAGAACCCGAAACTAAGTGTACAGAAGATCTGCCTAGGATTTGACGCCCCTTTTTAACTGCTAATTAAGTATATGTACATGTCATCTTGGTTTGAGATATATAGTTTTGTCATTGGAACAATCCAGCTGGGCAGCTTCTCTACTTTACGCCTGTCTTGTTGACAGGGAACACCTGCGTCACAACTCCGATGCCTTTGCTGGTGCCCTCGCGAAACAGGATGCGCATCCCAGGGCGCACGTACTCCGGGTGGCCGACGAACTCGAACATCACCGAAGCGCAATCGTTGGTGCCCAGCCGCTCGCCGCCCATGATGCCCCTGATTACGGCCGTCTGGCGAATGCTTCCGATGTGTACCGTGGTCTGGAAGCCTACGTAAATGGCCGTGGCGTGGAACAGCACGGATACTTTGGCCTGCAAGATTGAAATATTTGTGAATGTAGATTCCCTTTTCAATAAGAATTGCTTCTATACCTGGAAAAAATAAGTTCCGTAGGGCTCATCTATATTATTCCCAATGTCACCCAGCAGCACCATGCCACTCCGCAGGATGGGCAGATCCTGATCCAAGGCAAACGACAGCGAGGCGCTCTGGCCAGCTCGAACTACCCGGCAAGGTGCCTTATTTCGGTGAATGGTGTTTACGTTTACAGGGTGAAAACTTCCATCCGGCAGCGGGCCAATCTTCATGGGCATGTTCTCGGTTAGCACACCCTGCACTAGCAGACCACCAACCACGGGTCCCACGTCAGACACCCGGAAAATCTCGTCCACCTGGAACTCGCAGGACTCCTGCTCGAGGCGATCCTTCTCAGCGTTGCTGATGCCCGGCGAAAGGACGTACAGAAACTTGGTGACTAGATTCAGGCCGGTGCCCGTGACATTCGACACGCAGAAGATGGGCACGATGTTCTCGGAGACCTGGTTCGATCCGGCGGAGATGGCCTCATCCGTGTTGGTCACTACGAAGGGAACCTTTCGGCACCCGATGGTGGTGAGCAGGTTGCACAACTCCTGCACCGTGGCATCCGGCGATGTGATGTCCGTTTTTGTGACCAGCACGAAGAAGGGCATGTCCAGGGCCCGGACAATGGCCAAGTGCTCCTCGGTGGTGTCGTTGCAGCCGCTTCCCGCCGATACTACAAGCATGGCGTAGTGGGGCGAGTAGCCGCTCAGCGCCTGAACGGTGGTGCGCATGTAGCGCCGGTGTCCGGCCAGATCCATGAAGGTAACTAACTTGCTGGACCTGTCGCTGATCTCCTCTGCCGTCATCATCTCATTGTATTTGTAGTTCACCACATTGCCCAGTGCATCGAAGCCGAGGGTCTCGTGTGAGATGCAGGAGGTGCGACCTGAAGTGAATTTTAAAATACATTGTTCAATATCTTTGAGTGATGAGTTCTAAAACATTCAATGAAAATTGTAAGCGCTAATCATTTGTGAATGTAGTTTTAGGTGTCTAAGAGTATGCAACAATATATTATAGACTCAGAAGTACAATGAATTCGATCAAAATGTCGACTATTCTTGCCCTTAAGGTAAACTAAAATAGGGTTTAGTTTATTCTGTGTAGGACGAAGAAGGAATAATTACTTTTTCAGAAGTTCCTACCATATATGGATTATCTTAAAGTAGCAATTTCCTTATTCAATTGACTCTTACCCGACTGAATCTCGTGCATGTGCCGGAACATGTTGAGCCGCGCCCTGCCGTGTCCGTTGTCCAACTCGTCCTGAGTGAGAACACCCAGCAAAGTGGACTTGCCGGCATCGGCTCCCCCGAGCACCGCCACCCGCACCTCGATGTTGTGCTGGTCGTCGGGGATCTTCCGGACGAGCACCTCGGCCACGGCCCGTCGCGAGGCGATGGTCTTCCGCCGCAGCACCGAGGTACTGGCTCCCAGGCTGTGGGCCATCTGCTTGAGGGTCGTGAGAGAGGCGTTCATGTCCTTGTCGCTGAGACCCTGCAGGTAGCCGGCATCGGAGACGCCTATTTCGTAGATGGCCTCGCCGTTTCCCTCGCGGAGCCGCCACTTCATCTGGGTCACCAGGTGCTCGAATCGCTGCTTCGATGGGTTCACCAGCTTCAGCTTGTACTCGACATTTCCGAGCTGCGGTTCCGGCGGCAGCATTCCCTGCTCGAAGTCGAAGATCAGGTTGCCCCGCTCGGTGGGCAGTCCACCGCTCAGGTGGCTCAGGCTGCACTCGTTGGCATTGGCGTCCGTCTCATAGTCGCTGCTGCTGCTCCCGCCGCCGCTGCTGTTGCCATTGAGCTCCGGCTCCTCCTCGAAGCCGTCGTCCTGATTGGGATCAAAGAGGCTCAGGAAGGACTCCATACTGTGTGGCTGGAAGAGAAGCATTTTGAATAAATAAGTATGATTTTCTATAAGGCATGGGTAACCGCAATTCATTGTCTTCTGAACAAAGAAACGACTTGTTTCAGAAAACAAATTTGGGGCCAATTGCGACATCGAAATACAAACAGTCACAAAAGATTTTTGAACAGCTGTGGGTGAAATAATAGCGTTGAGATACACACCTATACTAAAGCAAATATTATTTAATGTCTTAAAAACTCTCCTTTCATAACTAAGTCTAAATAATATCGAATAATTTAGGAATTAATAATATTAATAGTCTTCTCCAAAATATAAAACAAATTTGGTTATTGAAAAATACATTTTTTTAATTTCTTTTAGTGCCTACCTAAAATTAATACTTTTAACATTTTCAATTTTAAAAAGATTGAAATAAGTTTTTTGAAACCACAAGAAACGATCCGAAAGGGCCTTCCTTTGTAATAACAAACTGTTCTTTTTTTAGGATTGTAATACACACTTTTGAGTTAATATTTTTACCACAACCGTATTTGCTTATGTGTATCCATCAAAATTGAAATTTTCTTCGTTTGTTTTTTTGACCGTCCTCTTTGCCTTGCAGCGACCTTGAAACTTGTTTATGTTTGCCACGACTTTTGCCTTTGTTTGGGTACACACGAAACGGAAATGAAAAAGGCAATACTACATTTACATCCGAATTACATTAACCTCTTACCAGATATTCTGTGCAGTTGGCTCACAAGTCAAACCAATCGGTTTGAAATTATTCGAGATATTAAGCGTTA